ATCATTACTTACATTAGGGAAACTATTCGGTATTCATACATGCGAGATTGATTTATTTCACTTATGAGTATGGTCTCAAGCTGCTCCCATTTATTGATAAATATCTCAATGCGATCCTTCTTTATAGCTGAATAATACTCCATTGTATAGAAATACCACAACTTTTTTATCCATTCCTCAGTTGATGGACACTTGGGTTGTTTCCAAGATCTGGCGATTACAAATTGTGTTGCTATAAACATAGGTGCACATATATCCCTGTGGTATGATGCTTTCAGTTCTTCTGGGAATATGCCTAGAAGTGGAATAGCTGGAATAAATGGGATTTCCAATCCCAACTTTTTGAGAAATCTCCAGACAGACCTCCACAAAGGCTGTACCAGTCTACACTCCCACAAACAGTGCAGGAGAGTTCCTTTTTCCCCACAGCCTCTCCAGCATTTGTTGTTGTTGGTTTTCTTGATCCTGGCCATTCTTTCAGGAGTGAGATGGTATCTCAGTGTGGTTTTAATTTGCATTTCTCTAATGACCAATGATGATGAGCATTTTTTCATGTATTTATTTGCCATTTGCATTTCTTCATCTGAGAATTGCGTATTCATCTCAGATGCCCATTTTTGGATTGGATCTTTGAATTTTGGAGGTCTGAGTTTTTTTTAATTCTTTATATGTTTTAGACAAGAGTCCCTTGTCTGAGAGAGAGTTCACTAAAATCTTTTGCCAGTTTGTGGGTTTTCTTTTCACTATGCTGGAGATTTCTTTTGACATGCAGGACCTTTTTAATAAGAAGTGGTCCCAGTTATTGATTCTGGGAAGTATTTCCCGTGCAGTTTGAGTCCTATTCATGAATTCTCTACCCACTCCTATGTCTCCAAGGTTTCTACCCAATTTGTCTTCCAATAGATTTAGCGTTTCTGTTTTAATATTCAGATCTTTGACCCATTTAGATTTTAATTTAGTACATGGTGATAGACATGGGTCTAGCTTTAGTTTTCGGCAAATGGAGAGCCAGTTTTTCCAGCACCATTTATTAAAGAGACTGTTGTTCTTCCAGTGAACCTGCTTGGCTCCTTTATCAAAGATAAGGTGGTTGAGTGTGTTTGTAGTTGTGGTTGTATCTTCTAATCTATTCCATTGATCTTCAGCTCTGTTTTGATTCCAATACCATGTTGATTTTACTACTGTTGCTTTGTAGTATAATTTCAAGTCAGGGATTGTGATGCCTCCTACTTTGTCTTTGCTGCTTAGAATTGCTTTTGCGATTCTAGGTCTCTTCTGGTTCCAGATGAAATTTAGGAGTGATTTCTCTAGATCCATAAGGTATGTTGATGGTATTTCTATTGGGATTGCATTGAATCTGTATAAGAGTTTTCGGAGAATGGCCATCTTCACAATGTTTGTTCTTCCTATCCATGAGCAAGGGATGTCTTTCCATTTTCTGAGATCATCTTCAATTTCCTTTTTCAGTGTATTATAGTTTTCACTGTATAAGTCTTTCACTTCTTTCGTAAGAGTAATTCCTAAATATTTCATTTTTTTGCGTGCTAATGTGAATAGTCCAGTTTCCCTTATTTCTCTCTCTGTGGTTTTGTTGTTCGTGTATTGGAATGCTATTGATTTCTGAGTATTGATTTTGTATCCAGCCACATTACTGAATTTATTTATTGTATCTAAGAGTCTTTCAATGGAGCTTAGGGGGTCTTCTATGTAGAGTATCATGTCATCTGCAAACAATGACAACTTAACTTCTTGTTTTCCTATCTTTACCCCTTTTATTTCTCTTTCTTGCCTAATTGCTCTGGCTAGTACTTCCAGTACTATATTAAATAGGAGTGGTGATAAAGGACATCCTTGTCTTGTGCCTGATTTTAAAGTAAAGGCTTTCAATTTTTGGCCATTTAGTATGATCCTGGCTGTTGGTTTGTCATAAATGGCCTGTATTATATTGAGGTAAAGACCATCTATTCCAATTTTCTGTAGAGTTTTTATCATGAATAAATGTTGGACCTTATCGAAGGCTTTTTCTGCATCTATAGAAATGATCATGTGATTCTTATTTTTGGCTTTATTGATATGGTGGATTACATTTATTGATTTGCGTATGTTGAACCATCCTTGCATTCCTGGGATGAATCCCACTTGGTCATGGTGTATAATCTTCTTGATGATTTGCTGGATCCTATTTGCCAATATTTTATTGAGGATTTTTGCATCTGTGTTCATTAGGGAGATCGGTCTATAGTTCTCTTTTATAGTTGGGTCTTTCTCAGGTTTTGGTACTAGAGTAATATTTGCTTCCAGGAATGACTTAGGAAGGATTGCTTCCCTTTCAATTTCATTGAATAGTTTGAGGAGTGTCGGCATTAGGTCTTCTTTGTATTTCTTGTAGAATTCTGCAGTGAATCCATCTGGGCCTGGGCTCTTCTTGGTGGGTAAGGACTTAATTACATTTTCAATTTCAGTAACCGAGATTGGGTTATTCAACAATTTTATATCCTCTTGATCTAGCTTTGGCACTTCATATGCTTCTAAGAAACTGTCTATTTCTTCTGTGTTATCAAACTTTTGAGAGTAGAGGTTTTCGAAATAGGTGTTGATGATCTTCTGTATTTCTATTGGGTCTGTAGTGACTTCTCCTTTTTCATTTCTTATTGCATGAATTTGAGCTTTTTCTTCCCTTTTTTTTAATAAGGTTGGCTAGGGGCTTATCGATTTTATTTATTCTTTCAAAGAAGCAACTCTTTGATTTGTTGATCTTTTGGATTGTTTTCTTAGTCTCTATTGCATTGATTTCTCCTCTGATTTTTATAATTTCTTCTCTTCTTTTGGCTTTGGGCTTGACTTGCTCTTCTTTTTCTAGCTGTTTGAGGTGTAGCATTAAGTTATTTATTTGTATTTGTTCTGTTTTCCTGATGTGGGAACTCAGTGCAATAAATTTTCCTCTCAGGACGGCTTTCATTGCATCCCACAGATTCCGGTAAGTTGTATCTGCATTTTCATTTTCTTTTAGGTATTGTTTGATTTCTTCTTTAATTTCTTCTGTGACCCACTGATTACTCAAGAGTGTGTTATTCAGTTTCCATGTGTTTGTGGGATTTTTGCAGTATCTTTTATCGTTAATTTCTAATTTCAGGTCGCTGTGATCCGATAACATGCAAGGGATGATTTCAGCTCTTTTCCACTTGTTTAAATATGTTCTATGAGCTAATATATGGTCTATTTTCGAAAATGATCCATGTACTGCTGAGAAGAATGTGTATTCTGATGTTGTTGGGTGGAACATTCTGTATATGTCTATCAAACCCATTTGTTCACAGGTATGATTCAGTTCTGTTATTTCTTTACTCATTTTCTGTCTGGTTGATCTGTCCCTTGGTGTCAATGGCGTATTAAGGTGTCCTGTTACAATTGTGTTACTGATAATTTGAGTTTTCATTTCTATTAATAATTGTTTTATATAACTGGGCGCTCTGGAGTTTGGTGCGTATATATTTAAGATAGTTATCTCTTCCTCTTGGAGTTTTCCCCTTACGAGTATGTAGTGACCTTCTTTATCCTTTATGGTCATTGTTGGTTTAAAGTTCACGTTGTCTGCAAACAGAATGGCTACTCCTGCCTTTTTTTGGATTCCTGATGCATGAAGAATTGTTTTCCATCCTTTGACTTTCAGTGTGTGAGTATCCTTCTGGGTTAGATGGGTTTCCTGTAAACAGCATATGGTTGGATTTTGTTTCTTGATCCATTCTGCTAGTCTGTTTCTTTTGATTGGTGCATTGAGACCATTTACATTAATGGTAATTACTGTTAAATGTTGGTTAATTGTAGGATTCTTATCTCTCTGCTGTTGCATCTTTATCTTTCTGTTCTGTTTAATTATTTGCTTTGCTTAGTGGTTTTTTCCTTTGTGTATCTAAACTGTCTTTCAATATTTTTTGCATGGTTGGTTTGGTGTTCAGGAAGTTCTTCAGCTGTTCTTTGTCATGGAAGTATCGTATTTCACCATCTATTTTAAATGATAGTTTTGCAGGATATATCAGTCTAGGTTGGAAATCATTTTGCTTTAGGATCTGGAATACTTCACTCCATGCTCTTCTTGACTTTATTGTTTGTGCTGAGAAGTCTGCTGTGATTCTGATAGGTTTTCCTTTATAAGTGATCTGTCTTTTCTCTCTGACAGCTTTTAATAATGTATTCTTGTGTTGGATTTCTGGGATGGTGATTATTATATGTCTGGGTGTAGTTTTATTTTGTTTATGACTATTTGGAGTTCTATATGCTTCACTGATCCTGATGTCAGTTTCTGATCTCATGCTTGGGAAGTTTTCAGCTATTGCTTCTCTAAATATCCTCTTGATATCCTTTATGTTGTCTTCTTCTTTTTCATTAATCCCTATCATTCTTATGTTATTCTTCTTTGCATCATCTTGCAGTTGTTGAATTGTTGTTTCCTGATTCCTTGTTATTTTTAAAAGATCTTTCCTTTCCTGTTCACTAGCTGCAATCCTGTCTTCAAGGTCTGAAATTCTATCTTCACTTTCATTAAGGCGGTTTTTACAACTTTCAGTGGAGTTTTTTATTTCCTGTATATCTCTGTGCATCTGCATTATGTATTCTGTTTGTTTCTTATATTGCTCATCCAGGGATTCTATCTTTTTGTTTAGTTCCTCCAATTGTTTATCTGTGTTTTCTTTAGATATATTTAGACTCTCTTTCAAATCTTTTATCATTTCTTCTTTTATCTGGGATATTATTTCGAGTTTGAATTTCTTTAAAGCTTCCTGGAGTTGCTTGTCAACTTCAGTAGCTATTGTGTCTGATATATGAGGAGGATGGAATATATTTTCTTCTAAATACATTTCTCCTAGGGTTTCCTGAGATGGGCTGGAGGTTTGAGGTTGTAATTTGGTCTTTCGTTTTGTCATTTTCCTATATTTCTGTGTTTCAAGTGTTATTTGAAAGCCTCCTCAGGATCTGTTGAAAATCCCCTTCTATGTTTGCAGCTACTGAGACTCTGGCACCACTCTGCCCCAGGCCATTGGGCCTGCAGAACCAATGGCCCTCCTCTGCCCGTTCAGAACCCTGCGGTTCCAGACAAGCTGGGCCCCAGGGACACTGCGCGCCCACCTGCCCCCCGGTAGATCCACAGCTCCTGGATCCCAGTCGGGCCAGGGTACTCACCACCGACCGCCGTGCCTCAGGAGCCCGTGATCCCTCCCTGCCCGCAGAGACGTCCACAGTCCTCCAGACAAAGGAAGGGCCTCCTGTGGGCACTCCGGATCCACCCAGCTCCTCCTGTGCACGCAGATGGCTATGCGCGGCTGGGCACAGGCTGAGGTGCCTCAGGAACTTGTTATCCCTCCTCCTCCAGACAAAGGAAGGGGCCTCTGCAGGCACTCCGGATCCGCACAGCTCCCCCTCTGGACACCGACGGCTAGGCGCGGCCGGGCACAGGCCGAGGTGCCTCAGGAACCCGGGATCCCCCCTCCCCCAGACAAAGGAAGGGGCTTCTGCAGGCGCTCCGGATCCGCGCTGCTCCTCCCCCGCACACCGATGGCTAGGCGCGGCTGGGCACGGGCCGAGGTGCCCCAGGAACCCGAGATCCCTCCTCCTCCAGACAAAGGAAGGGGCCTCCGCAGGCGCTCCGGATCCGCGCAGCTCCTCCTCTGCACACCGACGGCTAGGCGCGGCTGGGCACAGGCCGAGGTGCCCCAGGAACCCGGGATCCCTCCTCCTCCAGACAAATGAAGGGACCTCCGCAGGCGCTCTGGATCCGCGCAGCTCCTCCCCTGCACACCGATGGCCAGGCGCGGCTGGGCACGGGCCGAGGTGCCCCAGGAACCCGAGATCCCTCCTCCTCCAGACAAAGGAAGGGGCCTCTGCAGGTGCTCCGGATCCGCGCAGCTCCTCCTCTGCACACCGATTTAAACCACGGGTTCTACATCAGGTTTGATTATTAACTGCTTTCACATCCTACAACGTCTTCAAATTGTGTTTTTATAAAAATAGCTATATAATGTTATGCTTAATTGTATAGTCCCTGGTGATGTCGACAATTCTATTGAAAATAACAAGAGAAAGCATAGTAAGTATTTTATATCACCTAATATTGTGGTCTTATATGTCTCGTTCATATGATTTTGTAGGAATTTGTTTTGTTGTCTTATTTTGATCTGTTTTCCCCCATAACACAGAAAGGATAGATATACACATAGAGATTCACACATCGGAAGAATTTCTCACCTATTTATTTGAACAAATAATATAATGCATAATGTAATGAACAGATACTCTGAAGAAGAAATGACACTAAGAAACCCAAAGCTAATTCTGTAGCATTATGGTATAAAATTGAGCAATAGTATTATTCACTGTTCAGAGTGATATTAGTCTAGTCTCTTATTTTTTTGTGAACTGTAATTTTAACATGGCATTGTTTTAATCTTTTGATGCACATGCTTCATTTTCTCTTCCATAAATGATGTTTCTGAAGTTGATGCAATATTTGGCATTAAGATATACATTTGTAGAGGTTGGAGTATGTGTTTTTGACAAAGTTATGTTCATTTCACATAACTTGTACATTAATGAATGTTATGTTTTCCAAGTTGTGACAAGACATCTGCTGATTTCCTTACATCACTGGATATCATACCATGTAAATTATGTTGCCTGATTTTGTTTCTCGGTGGAGCCAATATTTGTCATTTAAGTAAACCTTTGTTTTTCTAACCATCAGAATTTTACTTGTTATGTTGATATTACATCTTTATTTGCTAGTAAGGTTTCCCCACATGTACCAAATGTAAACCATACTACTGTGAATTTCTGATTGTGCCATACTGACAGAATCATAACTTGTCTCCAATAGCACATCACAATATATATATATATCAATATCTCCAGAAATTATAAAATTTGGCATGATTTATGAGTAACCATACTTTGAAATCAATTTTTCTTAAATATGGAGTTGTTTGGGGGGAAATGTTGTTATTAGATCTATCATGCAAATGCCTTTATTTTATTCCTTGATGCTGTGAATGCATTATATATTTTGTAATTATTACTGTTTTTTCCTAAAATACTGAAGTAATGGCATGAAGGGAAACCTAAATTTTGAGCTGTCAACACAATAAAAAGTAAATTTGCTAAATTAAGATTCAGATTATGTTCTGTTTTGCTGAATTGTGAATTTATACAATGGCATATCACTTTATTTATCAGGACCAGTGCATGATGTTTGTGGTGTGTACTGATTATCTTTAAACACATACACTGGGCCATGAGTCCCAGCTGGTTTCCTGTGGCCTGTGGTTTTCACTTCCATTTTAACATTCATGTAATTTGTAATATGTTTAATGCTGTGTTGTTGAATACAAAATCTGCTTAGGAATTATGTTGTTAAAAACTGTGGTGTTATGAAAACACAAGTGAACATTGCATTAAATACCCTTAATCCAGTGAAGATATCTTGCCCAAGTCTCAATTATCCTTGGGAAAATAAATTACTTACCTCTTATGTAATCACCACTAAAACTATATCTATATTGTGCCTGAAGAACCTGATATACTTCACAAAGTAAAAGACACTGTGAAGTACATTGTCAGTCTGTATGTACTACAGCATGTGGCCAGATTCCCTGCAGCATATTTCTGCTTACCATCAATGGGAATATTTAGAGTTTGTATTACAGCTAATAATAGAATACTGAATCTATAAGAATATATCCTGAGTCTATGCACTTTCTCATTTTACCATGAAAGTAAATCTTGCTGGTCCTGTTGATGCATGCTTGTAATCCTAGCACCTCAGTGCACTTAAATTAGTGGAAGAGGAAGTTGAGTCTAACCTACACAATTAGAGTGACCTCGTCTCAAAATATATCTTCAAGTTCTGCAGATGTAGCTCAGTGCTTTAGATCTCCTCCCTTTCTTCCCCAGCATCAACATTTTTTAATACTCACAATTGCACAACAGTAGTTGTCCTTTTATCGGTTGGCCATATAGCAGTTATTTCGGAGAATCACTTGTGAAACACATTTGTTTTTGCAGTGACCATCCTGAGCATCATTTGGGCACTTGTCAATTTAACCCATTCATTCTTGTATTGAATATAGTAGAATTGTCACTTTTATATTACTTGTTATTTTATAAATACTAATAAAAAGTATGCAATTTTTGATCATTTTCCATTTAAATAATTGCATTGGTAAGGAGTTACCTACAAAGATTAGGCTAAAGATGATTTCTTTAGTTCAAGCATCAGGAGAGAATGAGATGGGATGATAATTGCTTTGAAGCTGACTTTGGGAGGCAATTGCTAGATGGTTTAGCAGAGTGTGAAACAGTTGTTTTTATGCCTGCATGTGAAGTTTAAGGAAACAAGTACGTTGAGGTCAAGAATATAAATGTACGATAGGGTAAATGAATAACTACTGAAAATTTTGATTTTTCTTTATTCAGGAAGTGTACTTTTTTTGGTAATTTGTGCAGCAGTCTCAAATATGCCTCTATTGGAGTAAAACATAGTGAAACATGAAAGAACCAGACATTCCATGTTCTGAATGTAGAGGTATTAAAAAACATGTTTTTAAATACTATTGCTGCTTTTTTGTGTAGAAAATAGGTAGGGTGACAAACAAGCAAAAAGGACTTTGTAAGATTTTAATCCTCGTGCATAAGCATAGATGCCACAAAAAAGTCAAACCAAAATGATGAAGAAATAAACTGTAGAAAGAGAGAAATTTTGCCCATTACTCCTTGACAGCTTACACGTAAAAGCAATAGGAACGTGAAAGGAACACACATTTTTCAGACTATGTACAAATTGCCAAGAAATACTTGAAGAACTATTGAGCATTTTTGCACAATAGACAAATGCAAATGGGGACATCATTTCATTACAGAGAGAACTAATCACCATAAGATCTAAAGAACATTCAGAAGACTACAGGAGAAAAGGAACTATTTAATCTTGTTGGTGGAAATGTATTTAAGTAGTTCAACTACTACTGAAGTCAGTTTTTAAAGTGTACAAAAGACTAAAATTAGTAATTCTCATTAGTGCAGTGCCTCCTTTAGTGGGTGTCTTCCCCAAAGAGTTAAGGACATATTGCAGTGATTCATGCAGATTCCTGTTACTGCAGCAATAGTCATTTTTCTGTGGAGAGCAGCAGCAAGCACTGCTCCATCACCACCAAATATCAATGATGAACAACAAATAATCACTAGTGTACTCCATTTGATAAATGGTGTAATATTTTATTGAGAAGTCGGCTGTGACTTAGGTTTTCCAGTAGACTACAGGTCAGTATAAATATGATTGTGATGCTAATGTCACAAGGCCATCACTAGTACACTATTTTGCTCATTGGATTTGATGTATTTATCTATTTGAGGATGCATGTTGCTATGAAGTTCAGGCTGGCATTGAGGTCACATTATAACCCAGAGTGGTCTCAAACAATTCTCCTTCCTTAGTGTCTCAAGTACTGGGCTCCACACAAGAGCCACCAGGCCTAGTTTATATTTGGTATATTACGTGCATATTTAGTATATTTTATTTCAACTGTTTTTGTTGTTAAAGTATTTCCATATTTTACCTCCAGCATTTGTAGAAATTTGGCGTTATTGAGGTGGTGATGTGCATATCCCCAGCCTCATGACATTATCTGCTGTGTTCAGAGCTGTCAGTGTACTGCATTGAAACATAGCTGTACATAACTGTTTCTTTTTCTACTTTCCTTAGAAAACATTTTTAAAATCTCCATGGATAATCACAGGTTCAATAATACTGGCTAGAGTTTCATGCAAATTCTCAAAGTTAAGTACAGTGTAGCACTGAGCCGAAGATACTCTCTGTCATCTGAGAGTCTTTATAGTCCTTTCTGTACACACACTTTGTGCCTGAGCCAGCATCTGTTGTGGGTCCCAAAGTCTGCTGTAAATCTATGGAACACATAGCTTTGTGACCGCCTCTAGACTGGTGTCCTATATGCCACTCTGCTGAGGCAGAGCACAGCTTCTGACAGGAAGCCAGAGGCTCTGAGGCTCTGAACAACACAGGTTTTTCTTTGTGAACACATATAATCTTATATTTCTGTAAGACAGACAGCTCTGTTCCATATTTCTACCCAGGAATACAGAAGAAGAATCTGGAGACTGTGGATTAAACCGTGGTGCTGCCCTTCTGCTCTGCCAGCCCGGTCTTGGGTGGGAACCTGACAGTGGCCCAGGCTTGCATCCCCCCCGACGTACACCTGCACATGAGGATCTGCCCTCAGGGCATGTCAGACCCAGTCACACTTGACTTAGGGCAGGAATTGTGTAGGGGCATTCACAGTGGTGGTCAGGCCTTAATGTTACTCTGCTGGACTCAGTGAGTCTGAGTGATTTGAAGACCCAATCCAGAAATGTGCATCTGAGATGAAATATACAGTACTCAGATTAAGAAATAGAAAGAGCAAATAAATATGTGACAAAATGTTCTGCATCACTCGTCATTTTACAATTCAAAATTAAATAACACTGATATGTCACCTTGCCCCAGAAAAAATGCCCACTGTCAAGAAATCAAGCAATAACGAATGCTGGAGGGGTTGTGGGGGAAAAAGGAACCCTTCTCCATTGTTGGTGGTAAAGCAACCACGGTGGAAATCAGTGTGGAGATTCCACACAAACTAGGTCTACAGGTCCCACTCAACTCAGCTATTCTTCTTTTGCGTATCTACCCAAAAGAATAAAAATCATCATACCACAGTGGTATATGTGCACCCACGTTTATAGCAGCACAGTTTGTGGTAGCCAGATCTTGGATGGAATGCATGACCTCTAGCTTGCCACGCAGGCGCTTAAGCTAAATCCCTGGATCACTTTTTTACTTTTTAACTTTCAAATAAAATGGGTTTGGGAGAAAAAACAAGGACTGAGGTAAAGACTTTCAGTGCAAATACCTATCAGAAGAGCTGAGGTCAACATTCCAGAAGACAGCCAGCTCCAGAAGACTTCACCATCTTTTATTGGGGATCCACAGTTACAGGGTGGGTTTTTTTTTCTGTAATTATTCTTGGTGGGGAAGGCAGGCAGGAGAGCAGGAGCCAATCAGTGATGAAGAGGCTGGCTGTAAGAACTGTCCAATCAGGCGGGCCAAGGTAGGCGGTGTCTTCCGGTGTCATGGCGTCAATTGCAAGGCCAGGGCAAAAAAGGGAGCACTAGATGTTTGCTAGACCACTATTTTTTGCTTCTATTCGCTGTGAACTGCTTAAAAAGAACCTGGGAGACCTCCAAACTACACAATGGTGATGTTATGGGATGGGAGCAGTGAAATGGGGTGGAATCTGGTTGAAACCAGTTAGAAGTGGTGAGAAGGGTCCGGGGGATTAGCTCAGCGGCATAAGCGCCTGCCTTGAAATCATGCAGTCATGAGTTCGATCCCTGGTACTGATAAAAAGGAAAAAGACCAAAAATAAAATAAAAATTAAAAAAAAAGTGGTGAGAAGTAGCTGTGCTGTCTAGAGCCTGGGTGCTTAGCCTCAGACCCTGGGATCCTATCGTGATAGCAGTAAGTCATCCTCTGTCCGTTTTACCTCTCGCTGGGTCCAGGACAGTTCTGGGTCCCTAAAACGGTGTTGCTACTGTGATACCATCAGGCCACAATGCCATTTTTGAAATTGCCTACTGCCCTTGCTCCTCCAACAGTCTGGGCCCAGGAAGGGGCATGAGGAGACCCTGATTCCGATGTGGTTTCAAGCTGGGTGCAGCTGTAATAAGCTAGGTTTCTGCTCTCATTCCTGTCAGTAACAGATCTGAAAGCCAGAAGTTTCTAAGTGTCTGTGATGCAGGACCTCACAGCCCCAACTGTTCTCGTTAAACTTATGCATTTATGTATTTTGTAGTCGCCTAAATTTATACTATGTTCTCGTATTTCCATGCTCATGAAAGGTGGAGGCAAAGGTTCTGAGAATTCAAAGATGTGTAGAGATGCTCCTCAGTGGAGGAAGGCTTCCCAAACACCGGATGAACTGCTGTGTATTGCAAAGAACAATGCAAAGAATTTCTGAACATACTTTATGTGACACATGTGCTCATAGATGATGTTTGGGAGAACAGCCATAGAGGTTTAAATTTTGAGAAAAATGAAGCAGATATAAATGTGTCATCAAGGGCTGGGGAAAGTGTGTTTGCTAAGGACAAAATCCAGAAAGGGCTTCCTTTCAAATTCTCATTGAAAAATGCCTAACTGTAGTCATTTGCATGAACATATACACGTGATATCCTTCTGAATGGAAAAGAATATGGGTGTCATCTCTGAATTAAGAGGTGATTTAATAGCTTGGTTGATCATATACATTGTTGAAGTATGGAAAGGCTCTGCAATGGACTTTACTAAGTGGTTAAAGGAGATACCATAAATTAAAATTGTGCGGAGATATCAATAGTTTAGTCATGAAGGGTTTTCTGCTTAGGGTGGATCAGACGAGCATGGAAAGGATGTGGAAGTGACTGGCAGGACGCATTGTGCCAATAGCAGGACATGAAACAGAGAGTATTGAAAGTCAGGTAGTTCTTAGGGTAAGCATGAAGATAAAGTTGGCTTATGATTTCTTCCTTGAGGTGAAAAACACCAGCTCTGGTAAAAATCAGTATTCCACATCCTTGTCAACCCATGAATTCTGTGTTCTTCACTTGACATCTAATTTTGATTATCTCTAATTATGACCCAGTGTCATGAAGGTGAAATTTGAATTTTTTTGTAACAGGGATTGAACTCATGATCTCAAGCTTGCTAGGTAGGTGTTCATGCTGCTGAGCTAAATACCCAGCTCTGAAAGTGTTTTCTGTATACTCTGTATGATATCAACATTGTTCCTCAGAAAATGTTGAATATTGTGGAATTTTTCTATATTGTATGGATATAATTTTTAAAGCAAACCAAAGGTGTCGTGTGCAGTCACATTTCAAGTTTCACATTGTCTGTGGGGTGTCTCAGTCAGGGTTTCTATAGTTGAGACACCTCTGGAAATTAGGCTAGCCCCAAACTCAAGGAAGTTCTCCTGCATTAGCCTCCCAAGACATATTTGTTACATCTGAATGGAGAGTAATCACTTGGTGGCACTGAGCTATAATTTGAAACTTATACGTGGTTTCATTTTTTATACATTTTTTACATACAGCAGTTTTC